TGTCTCTTTATTTGGTGATGTACCTTCGTGTACACATTGGGCGGAGCACGATATTGATGTTGGGGATGCTGAGCCCATTCGCCAACATTTTTATCGTGTGTCCCCAAATAAACTCTTACATCTGGTTGCTGAAGTTCAATATATGTTAGATCATGACATTGCACGGCCATCATTTTTCCAGCTGGGCATCCCCTGCTTGCTTGTCAATAAAGCTGATGGAACTTATCGGTTTTGTACCGATTATAGGAAAGTAAATAAAGTGATGAAACCAGACTCCTTTCCACTTCCTCGTATTGAGGATTGTGTTGATCGGGTTGGGGCCGCGAAATTTGTAAGTAAGTTTGATCTGCTCAAGGGCTACTGGCAGGTTCCGTTGACCCCAAGGGCTCAGGAGATCTCTTCCTTTATTACATCTGAGGGGTTATTTTCATATAATGTTATGAGTTTTGGTCTCAGAAATGCGCCTGCAACGTTTCAGCGACTTATGAATAGGGTTGTTTCTGGATTGGTGGGAGTCGCGGTTTATTTGGACGATGTGGTGGTTTTTAGTGATTCATGGGAGCAGCACTTGAGTCGTATTGCAGATCTGTTCTCCCGTTTTGTTGAGGCTGGTCTGACGGTCAATTTGGCCAAATGTGAGTTTGCCAAGGCCACCGTGACTTACTTGGGTAAGGTCGTTGGACAGGGTTGTGTGCGTCCAGTTCGGGCCAAGGTTGAGGCCATTGATCTATTTCCTTCTCCATCCACCAAAAAGGAGTTGATGTGTTTTTTGGGGTTAGTGGGTTACTACCGGGGATTTTGTAGGAATTTTTCCACCGTGGTGGCCCCACTCACTGATTTGCTGAAGGCAAAAGCCGATTTTATCTGGACTTCTGTCTGTCAGGAAGCTTTTGAGGCAGCTAAATCAGTGCTTACTTCCGCTCCTGTGTTAGCAGCTCCCAAATTTGACCGCCCTTTTAGGTTGTGTGTGGATGCTAGCAACGTGGGTGCGGGAGCTGTATTGTTACAAGCTAATGATGAGGGAATTCACCGTTCCGTGAGTTATTTTTCAAAGAAGTTTTCTTCTTATCAGTTAAATTATTCGGTGATTGAGAAAGAGGCTTTAGCGCTGATTTGGGCCCTGCAGCATTTTGAGGTGTATGTGGGATCAGTGTCAGATTCTTTGGTCGTGTACACTGACCACAACCCACTTACTTATTTACACTCTTTGCGGTGCCCAAATCAACGTTTGACTCGTTGGTGCCTCTTCCTACAGTCATACGCCCTTGAAATTCGACACATCAAAGGTACTGACAATGTGGTGGCAGACGCATTGTCTAGAGTTCCTTACTCTTCGTAACTGTTTATGAACAATGTTTTGTCTTGCTTTCCTTTACTCTCCTAAGATTGCTTCTACAGGGCCCGTAGTTGCTGAGGACATTGGGGGTAAGATGAAGTTGGTGTCATACAGTAATGTGGGGTTATCGGGTGAAGGGTTTAAGTTGGGATTCATAAATGTCAACCCTTTTCTATGGGGGAGGGTGTTATGAACCCAGTATGGGTTATATTTGTGGTTTGTGTGTTTCTTTTTGTTTGGTTTGCAGGATGGAGTTAGAGTGAGTGACGTCATTATTGATTAAGGAGTTACACCTGTGTTGGAACTGATGCCGGCAAATAAAGCAGTTCCCTTCAGCTGTGACGGGGCGCGTTCTCACCATTCTCGTGCCGTTTGTGTCTTGGATCCGATTGTTGCTTTGCCTTGTTTTGCGTCTCGTCTCATTTAATTATTCTTACTTAAATAAATGTTATTCTTTTTGAGCATTATCCAACGTGTTGTCTCCTTCTTTGTTGCGGCTTGCGAGCCGGCCGTGACAGTCTCTGAGGCATGGTACAAACATGTTACTCGCGGTAAATAAAGAAAACGAGATTCAAACAATAAAACTTACTGTTTTGAGCTGTATAACACTACTTTTCTGTCAATTAAGGTATCAAAACAGGGTAACACTTTATTTTAGTGTCCTTGTTACATATGTTACATGTACTCACCATAGTAAACAGTAAATTATGCATAATTACATGCAACTAACCCTCAATCAAATCCTACCCTAACCCTATAGTAAGTACATGTAGTTGCTTAATATTAGTACTAAATGTATAGGGGTGTCACGATTCTCCAAATCCTCGATTCGATTAAGTTTTCGATTCTAAGGTCACGATTCGATTCTCGATTTAAAAAAAAAAAATTTAAAGCGCAGATTGCTATGCAATTTTTAGACTACACGTTTATGCATTATGCAATATAAATTTGTTCACAATGTACACTACACCATTGCCAAATTTAAAATATAACAAAAACAAGTAACATCATAAATGTAACAATAACTTTATTAAGGCTTCTATTGGGGTTTTAGAATGAAGCTTTGAATGTCTTTCTCCGTATTTATATATGGTACACGCACATAGCAGAGCTTGCAAACTGTGGCTTTTTTGTCGACAACGCGAACGTTGTCAACATACCGCACTGCAAATCCAAAATACCTCCACACCGGCGACTTCAGAGAAGCAGGAGGGTGTTCAAGTTCCGTTGATGGGTCTTCGATATCTGCAGTTGCCATGATGTGTCAGTTAGAGGACTCGCAGCCTTTCAACAGGTGTTTTGTTTTCCGCACCGTGATGAGTCGTTCATCATGAATGAGTCATTCATCATAAACGATCTGTTCATTGCCTCTGTCACGCGACAAATGAACAAAAGACTCGGAAGGTAAAGTAATTATTTGTTCCCTGTAGTGTAAATTATTTTTCACTGCATTCATCATTATGTACATCTTCTTAATGTTCGGGGAATTTGCATGTTAATAGTATAACATTTAAAGCCCCTGAAATGACTAGAAAAAAAGTTTAGTTAATTTTGATGAACGAGATTGAACAATAGAGTCTGTAAAACGATCCGAACTTTCCATCACGGACGCGACATGGGGCGTGGCAGTATCGACGATACCATTTTTTATTTCGATTTCGATACCATTGAATTAATTTCGATCGATTTCGATTTAATATCGAAATCGTGACACCCTTATAAATGTATAATTACACTGTAACAATGACACCTTAAAATAAAATGTGACCCAAAACAGTTCCTCACCTGTCTAATAAAACACATAATATATTAAAAGCGTCTTAGGTGTTTCTGTGGTTTCTACAGAGGTAAAACCGGAAAACGAGGGTAACACGGATATGACGTCATTGACAGGCGACGCAATGACACGGGCCGTTTCACTGGTTAAGATTGCTGATTTCTCTGGATTTAACATTTTTTGGAAACATTTGGGAGAATGGAAGTACACAAGTCAACAAAGTATATAAAATTGTTCTAATTATTTCTAGTGAAAATCTTACATATTGTGCCTTTAACATTTGAATTAAACCGCAATGGGTTTAATTGTAGAAGACATTTAAAATCCACATATTAAACTCCAAATGCAGCTATTGATGCTAATGTAGTAGACTAGACTAACTTTAGGAAATCCATGCAGCAGGTGGACACTCCTATGACTGGAAATATTTGTTATTATCCAGTCTTACCTTAAGTGTCTGCAGATTCTCCCAGACCGACACGCTGTCCTTTGATCCCAATTTTCTGAATCGCTAGAGTGGCTGTCATAAGAGATAGGGCATGCTGCCATCTCAACAGAGTTGATATTACTGGACCTATATGCCTTCAGATCTCATATCCTAACAAAGCAAAAAGAATTTAAAAAGTAAAAGAATTAGTTTTTGCTCTAACTATTCCCAAAATTTGCCTTTTCTTTGATTAATTTCTTCCGTCCAAATGCATACAGTACTTTTTTATGGACAAACACACACCTTTTGACATTGTACACACAAGCTGAGTTTTGACTTATGATCCTTGTCAAATGGATCCTAAAGGAATACAATAATATAATATAAGAAGAAGAAATATAATATCATATAAGAAGAAAAATCCTCTAAAAATCTAATAAGATCCAACTGGATAAAGTGAGATTCTGGGATTTTGATTTGATTCCTTGAGCCCTACTGGATATTGCGTAATGTTTATAAGAACTCTAACGTTACTTCTGTACTGGGATAATGTTTAGCTGATGGACAGTTAAATGAAATGGAACCTATATAGGCAGCAAAATCTAAAATTGTCTAATATTTTCTAATAAGAAATTATTCCTCACTCTATAAGAAAAAATATATCATAGGATCCTTCTAGTTCAATATTATTATGATATTATTTTGATATTATATAAAGAAAGAAAAAAGACTATAGCATATGCGGTTAAAAAAAAATTCACAAGTGTTCACTTACTTTGTTTGAGATAGTATGAATAAAATGTTCCAAAAAAAGCCCACAAAACTGACAACGTATTCCAACTTTGGTAGCGCTAACCTGATTCAATAAGCTATCTAACGTTAGTTAGCTTATCAGTTAACGTTAGCTTTTAAAAGTGGGCGCTAAACAAACACAGACGATCTCTCACCTGACTCTGCTTAACGCTGAACTTTCTCCGCGATGTGTACGCTTCTGGCTCTCTGACAAAATAGCTAGCATGAATTTACTTTAGTTTGATCTTCACCGTTCACGACGGGATGCAGTGTTGACAGACTTGGAAGCTACATGGCTAACCAAGGAGAAGAGAGTGACTGTGAGTTATCGCGAGAACACACGAGACGTCGCCGTAGAAACCACCTTGCGTCCAATCAACTGGTGAGGAGATTCACGCTGCTTTTGAAACATTTACATTGCTGCCATACAAGGAGCCATACAAAAATAGAATGCAGAGGATGTAGTAGGCTATTGAAATCATGTTATTTAAAATTATAATAACAAGAATACAACAAAAACGAGAAAGGCAATACATAAATACAAATTTAAAGAGCACTTGTTTTAAATAACCAAAAGGTAAAGCGCATGACAAGAAGAAAAAAAAAAACACAACAAAACAGAAGGCATACGCAAGAACAATGATTTTTTTTGCTTCTTTTTATTTTATATTGTCATCAAAAATAGAAAACACCTTGAAAAATTACTTTTTCTCCATTTTCTCTTAAGATTTGGTCCTTTTACATTTTTCTTTTGGGTTCAGTTAATCTATGTTACAATCAAATAACTCATAAATACATAGAAGTGCTTTGAGCCTTAATGTTATACGGCTTAGCCGCCAAAGAAAACTGGAAAACTACATAAAAAATATAAATAGTTTGTGTATAGAAAAAATAAATATTGTTAATAGAATAATAAAAGGTGAACAGAATGGCTTGATTTCAGTCCCTGAGCATAGTCCACATTAGGTGTCAAATTCTGTTTTTACGATGGGTTCATAAGTTTTTCCAAAACGGCAATGATGTCTTCAGCTTCCCTTGGATTTAGATCCTTGAGATTGGGGAAAATGTCTGGAAGAAGTGCTGTTCTCTCTGCGCCTGTGTTCTTGATTGCGGCCGTGTGGATTTCCCGCAGTTTCGTCTGAAGCCAGTCTTGCCTCAGTTCAGCATGTTTATGCACCCCGAGGTTATGCATAAGTTGGACTTCATTGATAGCCCGTTTGCTTTTGAAGAGAAAAAACAACAACATTATAATACAATAGAGCAACAACAACAAAAATGTGGGGAAATAATTAATAGCATTTATTTTTAAATAATTAAAAGTAGCGGCTATTACCTCAATGGCTTGCTATCGGCATTTGTTGAATAGAATAATATACAGATGGAGAAAAATACAGCTGTTTTCTCCAAAAATCCAAGATTGATGCTGGAAACCATTTTATGAACCTGTAAAATAAAAGATAGGCTAAATGAGCTTATGGTAATCATAATTTTATAAATGCAACAAAATGAAATTGAGCTAAGGATCAGTAAGATTTGAAATAAAGCAACAACGCAATAAAATACTCAACTCACCTTATTGAGTAACAGGTTTCGGGAGTTCGTGCATCAGTCTATCAGTTCATTAGAGTTGGTTCACAGTTGACAGGGTGAGCTCCCTTTATACCCCTGCACCCATTGATGAGACGCCTTCATTATTGGTGATGATGTCAGCCCTTGCCCTGATGAAGAATGCGCGTGACAACACCTCTACAACACCACCCATAATTCACTCTTCATTACCTCTCTTGAAATCCCGCCCCTAAAAATTGAACTTCTGTCCGTAAATTAGAGAGGAATTTCCTTAACAAAAATTAGCCAACAAATTAACAATTATACTCAAACAAACAAATAAGAAAAAAAGAACAACAAGAAAATTGTTAATTCCAAAAGACAACTGAACTGTTAAAAGAAAATTGAAAGAAAGCTTGTTCATACTAAATCAGGTAACAAAAATGTATGATTATTATATTACATTACATTACATTGCATTACATTACATTACATTATTATATTATATTATATTATATTATATTATATTATATTATATTATATTATATTAATCTCAATTTCAGGAAATGTAATCTGTTAGTTGTGTTTTGTTAGATAAATTATGTAAAAAAGCTCACAAAGTTTGAAGGATAATATACACACTCAGACACACAGAGAGAGAGAGAGAGAGAGAGAGAGAGAGAGAGAGAGAGAGAGAGAGAGAGAGAGAGAGAGAGAGAGAGAGAGAGAGAGAGAGAGAGAGAGAGAGAGAGAGAGAGAGAGAAAGAGAGAGAGAGAGAGAGAGAGAGAGAGAGAGAGAGAGAGAGAGAGAGAGAGAGAGAGAGAGAGAGAGAGAGAGAGAGAGAGAGAGAGAGAATTTAAGAAAAGACTGTTATTGTAAAATAACACTTAAATATATGCTATGTGTAAATATAAATTTTTCAAAATTAATCGGTTGTATTTGTGTTATTTTCATTTGTGTGTGTGTAAATAGGCTATTTTATATACATGTATGTTATACAGTCATGAAATATATATCATATTTATATATGCGTGTGTGTGTGTGTATATATATATATATATATATATATATATATATACATGTTTTCTAAAATGAATAATTTGTATTTGATTATCATTTGTGATTATCATTTGTGTCTATAGGCCTATATATAAAACATATATATATATATAAAACGCAAATTTCTGAAATAATATTTTTGCATTCACATATAGACCAATAAAAAGATTTCCTCTCAGACTACACAGAAAAGGTATACATTTATAGATTGCAACTATATGTCATAGCAGCTACTCCATGTTTCCTCCATCAGAACGCTCCAGTCACAGGTGTCCAGAGAGGCACCCGGAGAGCCTACTTTTATGGCCACAGATGACAGATTAGGTAACTATGAGAGAAGTTTTCTAAATGTAGCCCATGGCTATGTCATGACACAGAGAGTGCTTTTGAGCACCTAAGCAGGTCTGACCCGGAGATCTTGCCTCGTGGTGTGGTTAGGGTTTCTCTTCAATCTATATGCCTACAGCTTCATGACTTCAGAAAAAATGGGGTATGACGACAGGGAGCAGGCAGTCTGATGACACACGAGGCAATAAGCATCTCCTGAGTCTGTGAATTAGAGAGTGCAGGGGAGATCATCACCCAATATATGTGTATTAATGCAATAACCAATAAAGTGCATGTAAGCTGTATCCAATACTGCTTATTCTGAAGATGCCCACTGCATCTCATGCATTGCACCTGTCGGTGAGAGTACTGTTTCATCCTCTGGCATTCTGCAAAACAAACTTCACAGGTGGCAAGCAATTAAAGTTGTTTACATACCATATTTGCTAGATTTATGGCTGACAAGGCCCTAAATCTTGGAGATGGTTGACCTGGTCCTGGTCTTTTGCGGGACTGATATGGCCCGAAGTGGGCATGGCCTATTTAGATGACACCCGCCAAACAAATAGACCTTTGACCTTTGCATGGGATCCCTAGCACAGTCCTAACAATCTTAAGCAGTATTTAGACCCTTTAAAGGCAGGAGGGGGGACCTTTCAACCTGAGAACTGTAGTTCTCATTACCTCATGCTTTATCAATGCAGATCATGTCATCGGCAGTGTGTGTTACCACTACACATGATTATTCAGGAGAATTCAGGGGGAGAATATCAAGTCACCTAAGGACACCCAATGCAATCATTCCACAGGTGTAAAAGCCATTTCCTCGAGACACAGTGAATTGAATCTATATTAGGTGCCACCATGTGGCTATTTTTGTTTTTTTCTCAAGGTTTATTAAGTGGCAAAATGTTTATTACATGGGCTGACTTGAAAACAACATCTAACGACTAAAATGAATGGCATCTGACAACAGGTGAAATATTCAAAAGGGTGTATTTGAAATACTGGTTCTAAAGATAGTTAAAGATCTTGTTATTTTATAAAATCTAATTTGTGTAATATGTTTTTATAGTGATTTTAACAGTTTTCTGATGTAGCACATAAAAAAATCAAATGCAACAATATTTTCTTTTCATAGAACAAATTTTAAAATGTTTAAAAGACTAGTGTAAGAGCAGAGCAGAACAGAAAAGAATAGAACACAGAATAGAATAGAACACAGAATAGAATAGAATAGAATAGAATAGAATAGAATAGAATAGAATAGAATAGAATAGAATAGAATAGAATAGAATAGAATAGAGACAGGGCTAGCGTGTATTTCTGTATTTACAGCTAACGGTATAAACAGAATGTATGGCTACAATGTATTATAACCAATGAAAATAAAACCATACTACTCTAAGAATGTGCAGTATGCAATGCAATACACAGAACAAATGATAAATAAATCAAATAAAAATCACAATAAATAAAAGAAAAAATATAGCTGCGAGCAGCGATTACGGGCCCAAGCCGGTGGCACCGCAACCCCGGTGCCTTTAGTTACCTAAAGGCACCGGGGTGGCGGTACCACCGGCTTTGGCCCTTCATCGCTGCTCGCAGCTATATTTATATATATATATATATATATATATATATATATATATATATATATATATATATATATATATATATATATATATATATATATATATATATATATAAAGCCGGTGGCACCGCCACCCTGGTGCCTTTAGGGTTATTGTGCACGACGTGCAAAAACGTAACCCTGCTTTGACTGTCGAAAAGAAGTGTGCTGTAGAGCTTGTATCAGTGTGGGCTCTGCAAAAGTGTGCATTGAGGGCACATATCAACCACAAAGTATGCGAGAGCAACCTTCTGAAAGGTCAGGTCTACATCCAGGTCTACATCTGCCGTGTGTTTACATCATAGTAGTGAAGTTTGAAGCAATCAGGTGATTTCAAAGCTTTTTGAAAGTGACAGACTTCCTGCTGCCAGTTGGTGGCGCTATAACCGGGGTGGCGGTGCCGCCGGCTTTGGCCCTTTCATCGCTGCTCGCAGCTATATTTATATATATACACACACAAACACACACACACACACACACACATATATATATATATATATATATATATATATATATATATACATAAATATATATATATTGTTTTTTTAAGAGACAAGACAGAATATTACTTGCCTGATCTGATTAGAAAAATAGTGTTTGTGTGTGTGTGTGTGTGTGTGTGTGTGTGTGTGTGTGTGTGTGTGTGTGTGTGTGTTTGTGTGTGTGTGTGTGTGTGTGGCGTAATTGAACAATGTAGACATAAAAACATACTCCGTCCTTTTGTTCATACAGGACATTATTCAAACTGCAAAGTGTTTACTTATATTTGTGTACACTTGCAATAAAACACAACATTGTGCTTTTGTCAAGCTATAAACTCTTGTCAAACTGTAAACTACAACTGTCACCCAACCAAAATCTCTTACACACACACACACACACACAGTTTAAAAGCAAAAAATATCAAACAATCCTATTTAAAAACAGTCTGTGGGAGCCATCTTTTGGACATTCATCATATCGCATTGGTTTTCATTTCTTGTCATCAAACAGAGCCCTAATCTGTTTATTTTTTCAGTTACACATTCTACATTGATTAAAAAAGAAAAATCAAATGTGTTTTTATTTTATACAGAAATAAATAATCTATCATTCAGATGAGAATAAAGTTAGTGTTAGTTCAAATTTTAAGGAAAACAAATATATGATCTGAAATATAGCACATTCATTTAAAATTCATTCAGGTTCAATTACCAAACATACAATCTTAATGTAATTTAAAGCAAACAATACATTTAAAATATATGGGTTGTATGACTATTTTTTAATATAAAAAGATATATATCCAAAAAGACAAGGCCTAAAGTTTAACAAGGGTTAAACTCTTATCACTGTAACAGACACAATCACACACACAATCACACACACACACACACAAGTCAAATCACTTACATTTTACATGCAATATTGACTTTTTTTCTGTTTCAGCAGCGAAAATAGTTAAACAAAGATCACAGCAGAACCATCGCGCATCTCACAGCAACGCGTTCTCATTACTGAATGATTCAGCATTTTGAACGAATCGGTTGACTCAAAGATTCAATGACCAATCAATCCATAAACATCTATCTCATTCATGAATGACTCAGTCGTTCAAACGAATGAATCAATGACTCGCTCATTAAGACGGTCGCCTGGCGACACCTAATGACGGTTTAGTGTTATGTTTAAAAGTATCATTCTTTCCAACGATTGTTAATTAACTCATATTTGAAACATAAGCTATATTTATATATATACATACATATACACACACATACACAAAAATAAAATAAAAACACATTTGAAACGTGTTTGCTTACTAAATTGTGAGCTGAACGAAAGTTGCAGCAAATATCAGCAACAGGAGTCAAATTTCATTAATCACGAGAGTGAAGAGCTGACTGAAAAGATGATGACGGAATAGGCTATTTTATGTAAAAACGCCTATTTAAGCGAATCTGTCATTGTACTCTTTTATTGTTGTGTTTTCCGTGAAAAATAATAGACTATTGAACTCACAATTCAAGCAATTTAATTTCTACTTCCATAGGAATTCATTCGAGCGCCACCATTTCAATGTCTGTGCGGACGTCCATATTATACTTTCGCTTTCAAGTTAGTGTTTTTAAACCCCCCCCAGCGGGAGGTTTACACAATTGGTTTACACAATCACACGTTGATTAACCGGTGGGAAAATATTCCCATAGTAACATCCCTAATATATAAATATTTATAAATTCAATAGGCCTACCTGATTTTGAACACAAGAGGGCAGTATAGCACTATATATGATTTGGATTATTATTATTTTTGACTAAACAACCATTCTGGCTGTTTTTAAACTTAAAAATAATTCTTAAATTGAAAAAAAGGAATAAAATGGGTTTAGTTCTAATATTTGTATAATTTTATATAAAAATAAATGGTGTATAATTACATTTTAGAAAGATATGAGACATGCCCTGATTCTTTTTTTGACATTACTTGAATCCCTCAACCATAGCAAAACCGTTTGAGATATTCAATATCTGTTCACAATTTAGCATCTTCAATGTATTTTCATCATGTTGAAAAAGTTTGGCATGAATAAAATAAACTACTTAGGAGGAGTAGCTAAAAACTCAGAATCTGAAATCCACATTCAAACCAAAATATCTGACTTCCTGTTGGTCGTAGCTAATTACGGTAAATTAGAAAGTTGTCCGGCTCGAAGAGTACAATATACATATCGAGTTTTGTTACTGTAGATAAAACTAACCCCCCCACTTTTGTCAAAAGCATTTAGAAAGTGACACACTTCCTGCTGCCAGTTGGTGGCGCTATAACTTTGACTCACAATAGTCACATCCATGTGATCGGCCTCTTACAGCGATCACACTGCTGAAGTTTCATCAAGATCAGTTAATGTATGCAGAAGTTATAACGCACTTCTTGTTTGTTGTTTCTCGCCATAAATTCGTTTCCTCGCCACGGCCAAACCGTTCGAGATATCAAAAATCCCCTCGCAAACTTTCATCCTCAATGTCTTGACTTCATGCTGACCGAGTTTCGTGCCGTTTGTTTGAATTCTCTAGGAGGAGTATTTCACATTCCATTGCGTGTGTTTTACCAACAACCCTAAATAGCCGACTTCCTGTTGGGCTGGGGTAAAAAGTAAGAGTGTGAAGTATATATGAAACGAGGAGATCTACATGTGTACCGAGTTTCATATTATTACATGCAAGCGTGTTTGATTTATGTACCATGTTTTCGGACCCCGTTCCAGGGGGCGCTGTCGAGCCCCCCTGCCACGCCCGGGTACCATCTTCAGCCCGGCCCTGATGGCCGCGGGTTCTGACATGTGTGCAAAGTTTCAGGAGTTTTTGAGCATGTTAAGGCCTCCAAAAGTGTCCAAAAGGTAGCAGAAAAATAATAATAATAATAATAATAATAATAATAATAAATAATCCTAAGGAAAACAATAGGGCCTTCGCCCTTTGGGCTTGGGCCCTAATAAATGTATTTTAAAAGATTCTTGGAAGAACTGAATCCAAATTTATGTCGTTTCTTATACGAATAAACCTTGAACTTTGTGACCTTTTCTAAAGAAGTGACGCTGACTGAGTCAACCTTACGTGCCTAAAGACATTAGTAGCACATTTAATGCACGTTCACATGCGATATTGCCATTGGACCGTAAAAAGACTGGCAGTAAAAATCATTTTAGCTGCTGTTTGATGACGCCATAGACCACGGAAGCCATTTCTTACAAGAAAAGCTACAAAAAGCGCCCTTTATGTGAGAAAGGGATTTCTTCAGCAGTGAAAATAGTTGCCTGACAAACCGAGTGACGCACAGAGAAGTGATGCTTATTCATGAATGGACTGAAGATATAAAGGTTACGTAGCTCTTCGTCTCACAGCAACGGTGTGATTTATGAAATGGCACATTTTCAGGACACTCTAGGCTATTGTGAACAGTTTTTTATGTCTTTCTTCTTCAGTGTTTTTTATACGTCGTTTTTACAAGATCATTTTGTTTAACAATGATTTTGTTAAGTTTTTCGAATTTATTTAATAAAATCGGAGCATGCTGTTGATAGATGCTGTCAATGCTTACTGAGCATGCGCAGTGGCGCACTGCACTGAAACAGTAATTGGCGGAAAAATATGAGAGTGTATTTTCTTTATTGACAAAACAGGTAAGTACATGACAGTTTTCCTGTTGATTTTGGACCAAAACAAAAAAAGTACATTAAATACGTTTTAAATTGACTGCAATGTCAAATATTTAGTCGCTAAGGAGGAGCAGTTGAACAAGTTGCTTCCAGTAACAATGTTTCCGAAAATCTGTGGAAAATGACGTCGCGTTACATTGTAGAAGTCAACTTTAGCTACAGTGTTTCTCATGTTTTACAAATGTAAACACAATAATTCCCTTGTACTTTTAAGGTCCATCTCTCTGAGAGAAAAGGTGACCAGCTGAAACCTCAGAAGCCTGTCAGGTAAGAGGTATACACGATTTGGCACATAGGCTATTTGATCAAATTTGCAGAGGTGGACAAAGTAACCTACACAACTTCCTTACTTGAGTGAAAGTACAGATGACTGGTCAAATATTACTCCGTTAGAAGTAAAAGTTGTAAAGACCGATTTTTAATTAAGTAAAAGTACAGAAGTACTCGTTTTTAAAAGTACTTAAGCATCAAGTAAATGTCAATGCATTTTTATTATTGTTGCATTGTTATACGTACCGTATGCCTCTGAATCTATGCCTGCCTACCTACCCTCATATCAATATCACATTAAGCTATTGTGCTCCAAAACAATGACAAAATTCGCATTTAGAAGACCAAACCCAACGTTGAAAATGAAAATCAGGTTGTTGTCAGAATTCAATGACAGATTGACGTTAATCTCCAACGTTGGACAGACGTAGCCTATTATGGTTGAAAATGAAAATCGGGTTGACATCAGAAACCAACATCAGTCGGGTTCTGACGTCAACCCGACTTTCATTTCCAACCAAAATGCAACCCCTGCAACCAAAATCATCCCCTGACTGACGTTACTACTTTCTACTCAAGGACCTTGACAGAAATGTAATGGAGTAACAATTACAAGATTTGTCTTTCAAATGCAGTGAAGTTAAAGTAAAAAGTTTCCAGAAAAAATAACTCGGGTAAAGTACAGATACTCAAAAAGTGTACTTAAGTATACTCAAGTAAATGTACTTTGTTACTGTCCACCTCTGCAAATTTGATTCCATACAATTGAATTAAATGCACATTATCATATCAACAGATGTTATTGGGGGGAAATAGGACAAATAGGACACATTACTTTAATGAAGCATGTGAGTATTCACTAACAATTATACTAGAACTTGGTAGAGCATTCATGTTTTTACATCAGGTTACATGGTGGTTTATGGTAACACTTTACAATAAGGTCAAATCCGTTAATGTTGGTTATTGCATGAACTAACATGAACTAACAATGAGAAATACATTGGTTATAGCATTTATTAATCTGTTAACTTCAGTTGAAAATACAACTGTTAATTTTTCATATTAGCTCAGGTCCATTAACTAATATTAACAGACACATCTTTCGATTTTAATAATGTATTGGTAAATGGAGAGGTGTGAATACTACCTGAAAACCAAATTTGAGTAAAGATACAGATACCTTACAGCAAAAATTCAAATACTACTTGAGTAAAAGTAAGGATTAAGCCAGGATTAGTTCAATTAAGTAGCTTTTAAAAAACAATCCTTAGAAAAAAACATTACCGGTGTGCATCTTGAGACAAAACAATGGCACTGACATATTTTAAGAGATATCAGTTGCTTTCAGTTAAAAAAGCTCAAACATGCATTTTAGTCTGGGACTAGGCTTAAGCCTATAGTCTGTGAAACCGGGGGTTAATGTTTCTGATTTTAACAGTACTTAAGAATTTTTCTCGTACTGAATGTAGGCTCAAAGATGCACTGCAATATTGCAATAAATCAAGGTCGACACAACAGCTTCTTAAAGGGATTGTTCACCCAAAAAATTTAAATGTTGTCATTATTTACTCATCCCTCAAGTTGTTCCAAACCTGTATGAATTCTTCCTTTTGTTGAACACAAAAGAAGATATTTTAAAGAATGTTAGTAATCAAACAGTTGACAAAAACCATTGACTACCATAGTAGGAAAAAATACTATGGAAGTCAATGGGGTACATCAACTGTCTGGTTACCAACATTCATCTGTGATTCACACACCTGCTAATGCAGTCATATTCATGTAAAGTACCTCCCTTGTTGACAAGTTTGGGTGAGGAAGCTCAAAACGCATATGGCGATATCACTTCTTTTGTAGCAGAAATAAACTGCTGCAGAAAACATAAGGTGGTATGCAAAATGTAACAAGTCATTGCATTACTCGTCACAAATGTTTTGGAATAAAGAGTGCATATACTTATTAAAAAATGTAGTCAAGTGGAGAGTAAAAGTTGCTAAATCTTTGATACTCAGTAAAACTACAAAGTAGCCAAAAAAGATACTTAAGTAGTAACAACTTACATTTACTCAAATTCTTTAAACTACTGAGTAAATGCTGAAATTAACATTTATGAACTAAGATTAATAAATGCTTTAGAAGTATTTTTCATTGTTAGTTCATGTCAACTAATGCAGTTAACTAATGGTAACAAATGGAACCTGATTGTAAAGTATTAGCGGTTTATTGCACCAGGCATATAGAGCATGTATGTACAGTATATAGAGATAGATATGTAATTACATATACAATTACATATTTATATTTATACAGTTGTATATACGTTCACATCTGTACATAGGGATTCTACGGAGCCCCTAAAGGGACATGGTGGTGGAAAAAATTTGGGATGGGAGAAAAAAATATCTTTAAAATCTTTTGCGTTCCCCCGAGAAATTTTTGCGTCTTCTCGCAAAACATTTGCGTTCCCTCGCTAAGGTATTTGCGTTCTCTCCCAAAACCTGTTGTGAGCTTGGACAAACACTTCCTGTTTAATGTCCCACTGGCAGTGTTTCAGACAGCTCCGGACTCAAATATAAAGAAATGCAAGCAGTGCTTAGTTCAAAGAGTTCAGTAAAGTTGGCAATATATTCACAGATTCAAACTTCTCGGATCAATAACTCGTGAGCTAAACGTTGTTAAAACACAAATGACACCTATTTCCAATCATAGTAACATAGACAACAAGCTACAACCCAATTTTCCTCAAAACGAGCTATATAATATAAATCGATCTCTATGAGCAGGCGGCTGAGAGACAAGTCCGAAGGGACCGTCTGCAAAGTGCAAAACCCAAATAATGTTACTACAAAAATAGTCATTAACTTCAATATTACACACTGTAGAGTCACCAAATTCAGTTTACATATCAATGGTCTCCTACTGGTCATACTACAACACTTATTTTGATAAAATGTGCTTTTGCACATTTTATATTATGAAAAATATTCAATAACTTCACTGTAACACATCAGATTCAGTTTACACATCACTGCTCTCCTGCTGGGTATACAACACTTTTGGCAAGTAATAGCACATACAAAATAAGCAGGCCTATTCTTTACACAAACTATGTTGGTACGCAGCTAACATACTAGTTACAACCATAGCTTTTGCATGGTAATTTGCTTACTGAATTTGATGGTATTTCACTGAAGTTATTGAATATTTTTTCTAATAACAGTGAAGTTATTGATTTTGTTTCATAGTAAATAATCATAAAACTTTTTCTTTTTTTATCAAACTAAGTGTTGTAGTATAACCACCAGGAGAGCAGTGATGTGTGAACTGAATTTGGTGAAAGTACAGTGTGTTACAGTGAAGTTATCGCATATTTTAATGATATAAAATGTGCAAAAGGATTTTGCACTTTGCAGACGGTCCCTTCGGACTTGTTTCTCAGAGAGATCAATTTATCAATTTATAGCTCGTTTTAATGAAATTTGGGTTGTAGCTCGTTGTCTACGTTACTATGATTGGAAATAGGTGTAATTTGTGTTTTAACAATGTTAAGCTCACGAGTTATTGATCAGGAAAGTTTGAATCTTTGAATATATTGACAACTTTACTGAACTCCTTGAACTAAGCACTGCTCGCATTTCTTTATATTTGAGTTCAAGTCCAAACACTGAAACGCTCCATTGTTAATGTACGGAGCTGCCTGCGGGACATTAAACAGGAAGTATTTGTCCGAGCTCACAACAGATTTTGCAAGAGAATGCAAACGTTTTGAAAAATATTTCTCCTCCCATCCCAATTTTTTGTATTTTTGTGCACACTTCTAAATCTAATTCTGATGCATTGCATCTTTCTAAATTTTGGTCAAATAACCCCGGTTCTTTATTGTTACTCTCTGATTTTGTAGAGGAAATGGCTTCGTTCCCAACAAAGAGGATTTTTCCTATTGTTGAAAATGCTTTTAAAGCATCCAAGAAGCATAAAAACAAGAAAGTGAAGAAAGAAAAAAAGGATAAGAGCAAAACCAAGTGTGTGCCCAGCTTCTTGTTGCATGATGGCTGCTGTGAGACAGATTTTACTCAAAAGCAAGAGACTAAGAAAAGAAAAAAGGCAAGGAAGAAAAACAAACACGAGGAAGACTTCCAGAAACCTAAAATCAAAAAACAGCCCAACAAACCCGAAGATACGCACCAACTTCAGCCCATTATCTTCATCTCCCCTGATCAGGAGACAAAACAACAACATTCAACTGAGAACGAGAGTCATCGAAGAGTGAAAGAGATAGGGAAGATTAAAAAGAGAGTCATCTTCAACTTGCCAACTGAGAAAAACCAACCTGCAAGGAACTACAATGAACATGGAAAGAAGCAGATTGTGGGCGAAAGCAGCTTGGAGTCCAGTACAGCTGAAGAAATGAACAGCCAAGATCTGTTTATCACACAGAAATCATTCTTGGATCCATATGTGGAGATCTCCAGCAGCTCAAGCTGCAATGAAGCCACTATTGTGAAGGCACCAGAGAAGAGTTCAAGTAGGTCAACAGCTGAAGCGACCACTCAAACCGAGAACTTCTTTACCTTCCCAGCGCTCTCCAGCTCTCTCAGGTTTCAGCAGCAGAACACGGCCATGTGCTCGGAGGAACCGGTGGACCTGAGCTTGCCGAACAGAACAAGACGAATGCACAGGGCAAAACATCCCGCAAATCCACCCAAGCTGAAGATATCAGACACGTCGAGTGAAGATGGTGATGCGGGATCCAAGAGCAAAGGTGATCTGCTCCAGCTGAAAGTCGTCCAGACTCGCTTGAACGAGTCTTTCTTTTTTAAGGTGAAGGGCGAAGATTCACCAAAGCCCATGTGCCCTTTGATGAAGTTCACGGAAAGCGTTGAGAAAAGAGGGAAGAAGTGAAATCGTTCCAAGCTAAAATGTTACAGATTCGTGATGGGGGAAAAAGTAGAGTTCTGTGCACATTCAAACTAAGACACAAAGCTTTGGCATTTGCAGTTTTATTCTGTATTTTTACATTGTTCGCTTTGATGTTAACATCCAGTTAAATGTTCCTGTATATGAATCTTCAATGTCTATTGTTTACAAGCAAACATTGTTCACAAAAATGCATAACATTAAAATAGTCTCATGTTGCGTGGGAAAAAAGGAAACTACAGTCTAATTGTGTCGAAATAATTTGATTCCCATCCACTTCCAAAGGTGAAAGAAAACATACACAGGAATAGTTACTGGCAGCAGCAGACTGTAGAAACACACACTGCTTGCACTCGTGCAGCCTTGTGGGAAATTGTCATCCACCGTCGCCGAGTAAAACAGTCCAGTCAAGGATATCAGCGGCACAAGAACAGTTACAGTAGACAGGGAGAAAAACATTGTGGCAGAAAACTATTTGCTTTCTAAACTCAAGATTCAGTGGAGTTTTCAGTTGTTTCGGTGGCATGGATCATTCGTGCATCTTGTGGGATCATGTTAGGAATACCATCAATGATAGGATATGCGATGCCAAGCTCTTCGTTTATTAATTCATTGCTCCTTTCGTCATACCTAGAAAAAAATCAGAAGCAAATACATGTATTAGTATTACAGTTAATGATGATATGAACATCCCTTTTGCAAATTTACCACATTAAACAAAGTTAATGACAAAATACAGTTATTATAAAACATAATAAATTATAATGGGATCTCCTTCATATAAAGAAGGCTGCTTTCACAAATATTATGAATTATGATATGAAATAATATCTGTACCATTTGTGTCTCTTTTCTTTGGAAGGTGCAATTAATTGAAGAAATAAATTAATTTTAAAATAATAATTCAATTCACATGTATTTGTATAGTGCTTTTCACAATACACAACATTCACATTAGAATTTAGACTGATCTGTTATCAGAGGTTACTGTCTAAGTTATGTATTTAAGAAATGTACATATACAAAATCACGGCAACATGACATCATGACTTTGCGTAAACATACACGCCACTTTCAATTCAAGTGGCGTGTTATCTATACGCATTTTGAAATATCCGCGTGTATGTCCACGCCGAAATCTTTTGCGTGTATGTCTACGCCATTAAATGTCCGAGTGATTCCGCGTGTATGTCTACGCCGTTAAATGTCCGAGCGAAACGAAGCAAAATCTATATCTACATCTGTGGAGCGATATTTCTTTTCCTAGGATGGTAGGAGAAGACTCATAAATGGTATTAACCCCAGTGACGGGTAGGTTTAGGGACGGGGTTGGGGTAGGTCATATATTTATATATGCATAATACAGTAATATAACGTTAAGTCAAAGGCGTTGATAAACACGCTGAAAAGCGATTATGCGTGTTGATAGCACGCCAAAAATGGAAATACGAATTGGCGTGTCATACATACGCCATTTCATGAGATCAGTCTGATCACGGTTAGCGAAAAGGGTATTAATTTAAACAATGTAATAATTTAATACAGAAACAATTAGCTCGTTGAAGTAATGAATACTTGTTTAAATAAATGATCAATATTTAGTTATAAGCATTATATCATAAAAAAATAAATAGTCATTGTAATGTTATATCTGCCATGTTAAAAGTTCGCAAGGAAAATTATCAACCGGTGGTATATAACATCAGCACTGCAATTAAACCCCTATGATAACTAGCATTACATAATACTATTATGCATGGTAAAAAATCATACCTCAAGGGTTTTTTGGACAGTGGACACACAAGAAACTCGAGGAGGGACACATCAAACGCCTGACTCTCACTGCCCTTCACTCCATCACTCCGACTCCTCTGTTGTCCTCGAATCTTCACAAGACGCAAGAGTGTCTGGGCGCTCACAGGTCTCTGCACGCTAAAAACTCCAGTGGCAAGTGTCCTTAATACATGAGACATATCCTAAGAGAGATGAATGCTGGAAAATTAAACTTGTTTTCCCCGTTTGACAGATGCCAACAGTGAACCGGAAGCGCTAAACTTGGCGCGTCTGTAAACGTGTCCCCTGATCTTTTGCATTGGTGAGAGGTTCCGATGACAAAACGTTAACCAGATTAGTTCTAAATTTCATACAAGATATAATAATAATTCAGTTGGCATTGAGCCCTTATTTTGATTTAGAGCAGACACAATTAACAATAATTGTGAAATAATGCTATTGTTATACAGTTTTTTCCATCACGTTTATTATTAATAATAACTGCACTGATCAATGTAATATTAAAAAATATAACGATAAACGTAAATGAATAATCTAAACTCTAAAAAGGCTTCTACTACTACTACTACTACTTATGCAGTTGGCAGTGAACCATTAATTGAGATTTAAGACAGAGATAATTATCAATAATTGCGAAAAAATATTGTGCAATAATGGCATTATGTCAAATTAAATTAAATTAAAAATCTAGAATGATGGAAATAACGTGTTGGTTCCAAGAAATCATAGTGAGAGGAATGCATACGCATTTAAAATATATTTATTGGATAGAATTGTGACATTTTATAACTCATTTGCATAATAATTTCAACCAGTTTGTGTCGCTCTTGCATAACGCAATACAAAACAGAACCCCAGCATGTGACACTGAAGAGATTACTCATCATTACCAGCAGATGTCGCCAGTGAACCGTTTGTTAAACATCACACACTCTTGCAGCAGTGACGAAACTTGACTTTACTTGTTGTGTGAAAAGAGCAGAGACTTAAATCATAGGCAGAAGCTTCCAGGAGTGCATTTAAAAGTAATACAAAGTCAATCGTTTGACCAACCTCCTGATTTTTAGAGGTGGCCAGAACCTCCTCAAACTGCCCTCTTGATTTTATTAGCTACTCTATATATAATATATACACTCACCTAAAGGATTATTAGGAACACCAGTTCAATTTCTCATTAATGCAATTATCTAATCAACCAATCACATGGCAGTTGTTTCAATGCATTTAGGGGTGTGGTCCTGGTCAAGACAATCTCCTGAACTCCAAACTGAATGTCAGAATGGGAAAGAAAGGTGATTTAAAGTCTCCGTGAACCGGAAGTTGCCAACGACTTTTCTCCAGTGTTGTGACGTATTTCCGAGAGAAACGGAATACTAAAGGCTTGTTCGACTTCATGCAGCTCTGCGCAGACCGATCGGCGGCTGACTTGAAGCAGTGCATGCCGGTTAGAAATGTTGTCCGACTTGATACAGCGCCGACGCCACGTGACTGTGACGTATAGCATCAAAATACCGCGAGAGCGATTCGAGAGCAGCCGGAGAACTCAGCCAGCGCAGCTTCTGAAGAGCGGCTGCTCGGGGCTGCACGAGCTCTGATGACGACACAGCTGTTCCACGATTGGCCGGATTCACCGCATGACAACGATCACGTGCGTTTCGTGTTTATTCTCACACCTTTAGTTCCACTAAAGCTCACAAATCAGTTTTTTATAACAGTAAACACTCTTTTCATGTAGTCGTGATGTTAGGCTATATTGTGTTATGTTTATCAAAATAAAAGTGATTAAAAACGTCGACTGCACTTCATTGATAGTGGCTATTTTGAACTTTATTCTTGTTCAAACAGATGCAGTATGAAGCAGTACATAAAGTATTGAATGAAAATGTGTCTGAAACATCTGTGCATTTGGCAAATATTGAATTTATTTCACTTCAGCTGTGGTAAAGTATACAAACACCACGTGAGCTGTCACTACGGGAACCAGAAAGTGTCCGACTTCACGTCTCCATTTGCAGCCCCTCCCCGCCTGCACGCGGCTACTCTCGCCGATCGGTTACATCCAGCCACAGCCGATGTCGAACACACCTTAAATGAGGCAAAATAGTGGGCTTGGCTTTTTTCCCAACTAGCACCTGATTGGATCTAGAAAAGTAGGTGTTTTCATTCAGCCTGTCTACTGTCAGTTGGAGGGGCGTGATTACGGATGTTAAGAAGACGCCCAAACCGTGAAACCTACGTCATCAGGGAAGGTCCTCCAACGCAGAGGGGAGGGGAAATTTCAAATTTTGATTAAAGATTACGAAGCCAAAAAAATTTTTTGTGTGGATTGACTTGCATGGATGAATTGTTCACCACAAAACGATCAATTTAGGCAAACAAAGTAAGTATGGTCAATTTTGAATTCATTGGGACTTTTGAGTGTGGCATGGTTGTTGGTGCCAGATGGGCTGGTCTGAGTATTTCACAATCTACAGTTACTGGGATTTTCACGCACAACCATTTCTAGGGTTTACAAAAAAGGGAAAAACATCCAGTATGCAGCAGTCCTGTGGGCGAAAATGCCTTGTTGATGCTAGAGGTCAGAGGAGAATGGGCCGACTGATTCAAGCTGATAGAAGAGCAACTTTGACTGAAATAACCACTCGTTACAACCGAGGTATGCAGCAAAGCATTTGTGAAGCCACAACACGCACAACCTTGAGGCGGATGGGCTACAACAGCAGAAGACCCCACCGGGTACCACTCATCTCCACTACAAATAGGAAAAAGAGGCTACAATTTGCAAGAGCTCACCAAAATTGGACAGTTGAAGACTGGAAAAATGTTTTCTGGTCTGTTGAGTCTCGATTTCTGTTGAGACATTCAGATGGTAGAGTCAGAATTTGGCGTAAACAGAATGAGAACATGGATCCATCATGCCTTCTTACCACTGTGCAGGCTGGTGGTGGTGGTGTAATGGTGTGGGGGATGTTTTCTTGGCACACTTTAGGCCCCTTAGTGCCAATTGGGTATCGTTTAAATGCCACGGCCTACCTGAGCATTGTTTCTGACCATGTCCATCCCTTTATGGCCACCATGTACCCCTCCTGTGATGGCTACTTTCAGCAGGATAATGGACCATGTCACAAAGCTCGAATCATTTCAAATTGGTTTCTTGAACATAACAATGAGTTCACTGTACTAAAATGGCCCCCACAGTCACCAGATCTCAACCCAATAAAGCATCTTTGGGATGTGGTGGAACGGGAGCTTCGTGCCCTGGATGTGCATCCCACAAATCTCCATCAACTGCAAGATGCTATCCTATCAATATGGGCCAACATTTCTAAAGAATAATAATAATAATAATAATAATTCATCACATTTATATAGCGCTTTTCTGGACACTCAAAGCGCTTTACATAGAAGGGGGGATCTCCTCAACCACCACCAATGTGCAGCATCCACCTGGATGATGCGACGGCAGCCATATTGCGCCAGAACGCCCACCACACCAGCTTACTGGTGGAGAGGAGACAGAGTGATGAAGCCAATTGGTATATATATATGGGGATGATTAGGAGGCCATGATGGACAGAGGCCACTGGGCAAATTTGGCCAGGATGCCGGGGTTACACCCCTACTCTTTCGAAAGACATCCTGGGATTTTTTGTGACCACAGAGAGTCAGGACCTCGGTTTAACGTCTCATCCGAAGGACGGTGCTCAATTGACAGTATAGTGTCCCCATTACTATACTGGGGCGTTAGGACCCACACAGACCACAGGGTGAGCACCCCCTGCTGGCCTCACTAACACCTCTGAATGCTTTCAGCACCTTGTTGAATCAATGCCACGTAGAATTAAGGCAGTTCTGAAGGCGAAAGGGGGTCAAACACAGTATTAGTATGGTGTTCCTAATAATCCTTTAGGTGAGTGTATATATACATATAATACTGCAAACAAATTGAGCATGTTTGCATGGATTTATATGACCCCCCATTTATATGATTTAAATATCAAAGCCGTTTCTTGTCAATATTTCTGCGGTTTTGAGCTGATGAGAGTAAGAGGCTCGGGAAGAAGCTCGGGGGCTCCACAGAGCTCAGTTCACCGACCTGCCAAGCATGTCAAATGAAACAAACCCGCTCAAGGACAGACTGGTGTGTTCTTCGTTGCATTGAATGAATCGATTGCCTCTGCTATGTGAAATCTCACTAGGCCTTTTCCCTCTTGCTCCTCGGAAGATGTTTACTTCTGTGTCTGGGACCTTAAATCTAATCACTGGGAAAACAAATAGGCTAACAAATACATTAGGCTACATGTTCCTGGTTTGATTTTTATTGGTTGGCTATGCTTAATTACTGCTAAAGTAAGATATTCCTTGATAAACATGTCCTCTATGGTTCGCACAAATGTTTTGAAAGTATGAAAAGAGACAAACCTGAAGTCAGTTATGGAAATGTCTGTGTGAGCCGAAGGGTTCTTGCCTTTGGCTGGGATTTTTTTTCTCCATATTAAACTGTGTCAGTAATATCTGCTTGTAATTCTCTGGTGTGGTCTTTTCAACTAAAACAGTTTGTTCTTCGTCAAACGATGACAATTAGACAATTTCGCTATTGCCTTCTGTTCTGATTTCCTGCCAGCAACCTTCACAAACGGTTTCACAGTTGCTAGTGAATCCATTTAATCAAGCTTGAACTCTTTTCTGCTCCATTATCCACCACAGCAGGAATCGCTGAGCAACATACGATTGCATGAACTGTCATTATTTCCTTTCTTTTCATTTTCCGTTAATGCAGATGGTGCCAATAGCGAGATATAGCCTACGATTGATGCTTCTCGAAATGTGTGTGTGGGCCAGCACACACCAGATGGGACTGGCTAATTTCTCGCACACGAAAGAATTAAAAACCATACGGTTTTACTTAATTTAATTCAGCTGAATTTAAGGATTCTAAATCTCCTTGTTTTCTTTTTTTATTTGTTCAGACGGAAACATCTTCATTTATACATTAAGGTTATGTTACACATTTAAAACACACAGGCCTATAATCACTCATTAAAAACTCCAAGTAGTCTGTGGAAGATATATTAAAGTGATCTCAATTGTTTTCAAATTTTGTATGGCATTTGGAATGAAATGTGCTAATGATCCATTAAGCAACATATAAGGTAATAACATTAGCTAATGTTCTTAATTAAAGTTAGGCTATTATAAAGTGACACTGAGAAAGTCTTGTTTTTTTATAGGAATTTTTAATAGTGGTCCATGGACTGAGGAGACTCCTGGATCTTAGCTCC